GTTCAATGAATGAGAACACAACGAGGTGAAACTGCACACCAGCAGGCAGTACAGTACTAGCAGTAGAAGTAGAAGTAGAAGTAGAAGTAGAAGTAGAAGTAGAAGTAGTAGTAGTAGTAGTAGTAGTAGGCGTAGGCGTAGGCGTAGGCGTAGGCGTAGTAGCAGTAGTAGTAGTAGTAGTAGCAGCAGCAGCAGCAGTAGTAGTAGTAGTAGTAGCAGTAGTAGTTGTAGTAGCAGTTGTAGTAGTAGTAGTAGTAGTAGTAGTAGAAGAAGAAGTGGTACCGGTTCAGACGTGTGGCAATCTCTCGACCTGTTGAGATTTCCTAGAGGAGAATGAACCTTTTTGGCTCTTAGTCGGCAACAGTCTCCTCGCCGATGTCACTCAATTGCAATCGTTATCAGTACCGTATCAAACCTTCAATGCAAAGCATCTCAACCACAGGCCTGCAAGCTGCTTGGCAAAGGCTGCTAGCACCGCGGACCCTGGAGCTGCAAGTAGGCTTTAACGCTCTTTTGTTGTGGAGTTGGGTTCGGGCCTTGGGATTCTCACGCTTAAGGCTCGAGGGCCCATGAGCGCAAATGAAATTGCAAACGGAATCGAAGACCATACACACATTGGCAAATGGGCTGAGCCAAGAAGACTGTGTCAGTGACGCGGGAGGGTGGAGAAACAACCAGCAGAAGCTCAACATCGATTTTCGGTAGGCCCTCGTTGCAAAATCCTAACATGACTTCCCGTTTCCCTCCAGAAGAGCTTGCTGGTCGTGCTTCCAGCCGACAAATGGAGACTGCAAGTTGTGCCCTAAGAGCGAACACCCGAATTCGAAGCATAGCTAACAAGGAATCTTCGACTGGAACCCCTGCGCAGCCCGCGTGAAGCTGCAAGCTAAAGGCACCTAGCTGTTGCAAAGTGCCGAAGACCCTACAAAGCTCAAAAAGGCTCGCTGCTCGGGATTGTGGAAGCAACGAGTGACCGGTTCACTTCAGCGCAGGCACCAGGCCCAGCACTCATCGTGAGAATCCACGAGTGACCGGTTTGATCAGTCGTGCTGCGAGTATCTTCAGGCCGAGGACTATAGCAGCTTGACAAAAGTGTTCCCTAATAATCCACGACGCAGTGCGCGAGCGATATGACATCGGATACCTAGTCTTCTCTCTGTGGGATTTCCCATGCGCCGGGCCCTGGACAGGACTTTTCTTGTCCGGCATCAAGAATGTCATGGACATTGGTGAAACTCGGAAGTAACATTGGAACTTCACTTTACTGCAAAGGGTGACCTGTACGCAGCCCTCTGCATCGGCTTCTTTCAGGAGCCTTTGGTCACCCGTAGGTGTGGGGCCACCTGTAGCCTCAAAAACTCCCGGCCTCGGAGTGCCCATGACTTCTGGATGCCTGAGCTTCGTGCGTTGGAGCTCTCGACGCGCCACGTTGGCTCCAGGAAAAGGAGGCCCTTGCCACGATGAACCCAACGCGTGCCAGTTGAGATATCCTTCAGCTTCACATACTCATCATCCTGTAGCACCACGGCCTCCCTCACCTGGGAGGCACTGTCGTATGGCCCGGGAAACCAAATACAAGGACCCTTGACCAGTGAAGAAGCTCCGGAAAGCTTGTTCAAGACGGTCAGGTACTGCGTACACGTTAGGCTGGTGCTGGCACCCTTTGTCCACTGGTCGTGCGGACCAGGGAACCACATGCAAGGACCTTTGTCTACGCGTCTTTCGCCGGAAAGGACGTTCTGAACAGTCACGTATTCGGTCCCACTGAGGTGGACTGCTTCCCCTTGCTCCCACTCTTCATATGGACCTGGAAACCAAATGCAAGGTCCTTTTTCCACCCTCCGAGCTCCACTGAGCAGATCTTCTACTGTGACATACTCCGTGCTGGAAAGTCGGACGGCGTTACAGACCTTCCCCTCTTCTCGAGGTCCGGGAATCCACACCAATGGCCCACGCTGTACTTTCCTCTCTCCGGTCTGTTTGTCCTCTATCAGCACGTACTGCATGTTGCTTACACTTACTCCCTGACCACTTGCCTGCATCTTCTCATAGGGACCCAGGAAAAACAACCGTGGCCCGTGCACAGCACGCTCAGTGCCATCCATGGCATCGCGCACTCGCACGTAGTCTAGCGGACCTAAAGTCAACGCCTTCACGATCGCGCAGGTCTTGAATGGATTGATGCACACCAGCCCCGGACCATTCACCACTGTGACAGTGGTCAGGTGCTGAACCCGCAGCTGTTCATCCATCCGCAAGAATTTCACAGGCCAAAGCATGTTCACGATTACATTAAGCATCACTAAAATAAAACTGATGCAGAGCTGCACATAGCTTCTGGAATTTGGCGCCACGGGCTGCACCTCTCTGGGTGGATCCCGCGGTGCCAACTCTCTTCCCCGGAACACCTCGAGTTCGCCCTGGGGCTCAGCTTGGTGCCTCTGTGCTGGCACCCAGTCTGGGGGCCGTCCGCAAGTGACGCACTTGTCGGCCTCGATGGAGTTCCGCTGCATGCACAGCTTGCAAGACCATGTCACGGCCATCTTCTAACTAGCTGTACGCTGGGATGCTGTACGTCTCAGCCGGACCACGTGTCTGGCTTGATCGCTCTTCTAATTCGCCTGACGGGTTAGGTGGGCTGCTTGCCGGGCCTGCACGTGTAGTTGTTGGGCCCTTGCTCGTAGATGCTTTGGGATGTGCAGATTGACCTTGTAAAGCCTGCGGAGTTCTCGTCGACTTGACTGTCCTCCACAATGCTGCACGCACTCTGGTGCACGGCACTCTGAACCTCAACCACGTCCTAAACCTACTTATGAAGCCCTCAAGGTCTCTCAACTCCCAAGATCTCCCAAATCCTCAACGCTGAAAATACCATCCAAAACGTCTAAAAGCGCCGCTGAGCCTCCAGTTGACAGGCTAAGGAAGCTCCCGAGGCCGGCCTACGAGGCTGTAGCGGCGTGTAAAGAGCAGCCCGGCTGCCATCTCCAACGGCCCTGCAAGAGAAGCTCACGGAGTTCCAAGGGCTTTTTCTTGTGCGTTTCTCAGAGGTCCAGGGCTTTCGGGCTGCAGGTTTCGACGCTTTGCAGTCGTTCCAGACAGTCACTTCAGGTTTAGCTCGCTTTCTGCAGGTTGAAGCGTTGAGGAATTCGGGGGTCGGGGCTTCGAGATTTTCGGCTACGAAGCCGCAAGTCTCGCAGGCTGGGGAATCAGCTGACATTCGGAGGCACTCCTTGTGCAAGTGAAACTTGCTGCTCCGACTCAGAAAAGTCAATGGCGCAAAACTGTCAAACAATTAAAGTAATGAGAGTCTGGTGTAAGTCCTAGCACGGCAGGCCTTTATCTAGAGTAGGCCAGAACTTCCAGAGTAGGCCAGAACTTCCGAACATGAACTTCCCAAGTGCACGTGCTCACAAAGCTTGACACCTGTTGGTATCATGAGGAGCGTCGCTGGGATGAAGCAAAGAACGAAGGCCGCGCAGCCCAGTAAGCCCCACTGGCAAGTTGGTGGGGGCTTGGCAAAGCTGTGTTGGTTTCTCTTTCTTCCGGGCGAGGAGGATGAAGATTTTGCCTCCCGGGTTGTGCCGATTCGTGGATTCTGCCCTCGTGAAGAATACCACTGAAAGAGAAAGGTCCGGGGTGTGCTCGGAGGCATTTGTATTTGTAAGACAATCAGAATAGACTAAACCGCTTGTGCGATCTTGTTCTGGCTCATGTTCCGGCAGGGGGTTGCGAAAGCCAACTGGCTACGCAGCATGCGAAAGCACGTCAAGGGCATAGTGCCAGGTACCACTGAAAACTGTTGCAGAAAGTGTGCCCTCGGCCTGGTGTCTGCTGAATTACATGCGGTTTTCTATTTTGTAAAGATGTGTTGGGTTGACAACAGGCAGGATGCAACAAAAGTTTGACATAGCGGGCAAACACCCGCTTGGCTGGAAAGGTGCTAGAGTACAACAGATTAAACTGCGCCTTGTTGCAAGGGCTGCGTTAAGCTGCACGGGGGAATAGATCACCGTGCAACACTGCCTCCCTCTCTTTGCTTTCGTCGCGTAAGCGATATGCTCCCGAATCCTGCTTGCACCATGGCTTACACAAGTCGTTCCAGACCTGCTCACTGGACTCTGCTGCTGCAGCCAGGCGAAGCAGCAGGGTCCTCCGGGTCACAGCAATTTTAGTAGTCGTCGTGGTAATCGTCGTAGTAGTAGTAGTAGTAGAAGTAGTAGTCGTCGTCGTCGTCGTCAGTCGTGGTGGTGGTGGTGGTGGTGGTTGTCTTTTTAGCACACTTCTTCAAAACGTGAATAATAGTGGTAGCCATAGTAGTAGGCGAGGTAGAAGCCGCCTGTCAAAATACAATCCGTTGGGTAGGCCGGCTTCCCACCATCGGCAGAATTGAGCAGCCTTGTGTGACCAATTTGCTTTGCACATGACTGTCAGCCTGTCAGTCCTTCGATCGTAAAGAAGGACGACTGCACCTCTGACGAGAATTCTGGGTTTGGCTGGGGGATTGAGGCACAGCCTACGTATTCACGAGGTCACACGGCCGGCAATGCAAGCGTCTACCCCTAGTCTGTTGCTCCGACGTCGCTGGTCCTTTGATTTGGCAGACGGTGCAACCAAGGCGGATGTACAGGGCTTTTGTTCTGATGTCAGAAGAAATCGCGCGGGTAATAATTCTCCCTGGTGCACAAGAATCCCATGACCGACAATCTCTCAGCCGCACCTATTGCACAAGGAGCGGCAACAGCCGCCAGACGCCGGAGCATGCTGCAAAGATATCCAGCTGACAGCTCACATCGCGTAGCAACTTGAGCGAAGCTGGTGGCCTGTCACGAGTCTTCTTCCCACCTTCGCGTCATGAGTTTACCTTGCTGTTTTAAGGTCATGGATACTGACGACCTCCTCGGAGGTGCGGTCTGGGAACTTTGAGTCAGCGACGAACCGATAGGATGCCTAACGTATCCGTGCCGTTAGCAATGGAGAGTCGTCGTCCTCTGCAAAATCTACCGTCGTATGATGCACTTTCCCTCATGCAGTCTTGGAGCTTTAGTGAAGAATTGGGAAGAATGAGCCGAAAGAGCAGGGAAAGACATCTTCACCGCCAAGTCCCGTGAAGCGGAGTCGGCCAAGTGGGGTATAATATCATACTATACTATATTATATTATATTATATTATAGTATATCATATTATATTATACTCTATCATATTATACTAAGCCAGTCGGCCTTTGACCCCTCGCAAGGAAGCTCGTGGTCGGATTCTCCACACTGGGGTTAGCCTCTTCAGGACCCCAGGCAGGATCTCTAAACTAAGCACGAGGCAGCTAAGCACGTCATCTATGAATCTATGTGACGCGAGAAATTTCAAGTTCAAGCGGGACGCCACTAAATCTGAATCCGACTCTTGGCGATTCAGGGGCACGGGCTTCGAAGATTTGTGTACTGCCAAACGACGTCTCGTGTGGACTTGGACTAGTGCTCCATTCGTGTCTGAGCATCCCCTGACTCGGTGCTATGAACAGTGGCAGACACGTTGAAAAGCTGTGTCCGGGAGGCCCTGATGTGCTGGCACCGGCTGCGTGCACATGCCAGACCAGCCCGCGAAAAAGCATGTCGTGTGCCATTGTGGACGTTACCAGACCTGTACAAGACCGAACTGCAAGTCTCCAGCATATCGACTGTTCTTCCTCACACGTGTTGCCGTTCAGTCTCGAGTAGCCGGACAAGCCGGCAGTAAGTCGAAAATCCATGGGCTGGATGCCAATCCGCAATTTCAACCGGAAAGCAGTCGAGATCATTTGGTCCTGCAAGCAGACATCAGCAAATGCTGCCACAACAAGTAAGCTCAAACGTAAGGCTGCACCTCTCCAATCTTCAGAAGATCTCACAAAACTTTAAAGCGCGGAACCGAGCTCTCAACCCATTGTCCACCGTGGAAGCACTTCTCCAAACCCTGTAGGAGAAGCTTCGGTCCTATTACAAATCGCAGCAGTTTGGGCAGACTGGAGATGACCGGAGCGTGACATGCGTCTGTAGAAGACTGTCCGGAGTTGGTGGTCACAGGTACGACCGCTAACTGACTCTAACTCCCCGAGGTCACTCTGCGTTTGCATATCTTCTGCGCAATGAGATGTTTTTCAACAAGCCTTCAGGCTAGTGAGCGCAGGATTAGGTTCCGAGTCGGCATCGGGGGCCAAGCCGAAAGTACAATGACGTAAAAGGTTGGGCTACGTTTAGCTTGTCGTGCATCCTGCCTCAGGGCACATGGCAAAAGCTAAAACGATGCCGACTTCTTGCAGAGTGCACAATCTCTTCCCTAGCGCCCATAGACCTTCCTACAACTTGCCACCTTGCTGGCACCCCTTTTCACATCTCAGCCATTGGATGTCTGCGCGCAGCTCATCTTCCAAATGCTACAACGAATAATGTAAGCGCTGCATGATCTGGCGGGTGTGTAGCAGCATCACCGGCCAGTCAACTTCTAGGGCAACAGGCAGCGCTGCAACCTGAAGAGCTGAAGGACGTGTGCAGCCGGCGATCTACGCACCAGTGTCCGGCTCCCCATCATCTGCTGCTTCATCCGCCACCTCCTCAGTGTACGACCCATATTGTCTCCATGCCCACAAAACTTCACTGTCTGACGCTGCACTGGTGAGGAACAGATTGCATGGAGGCTCCAGTTCTCTGGCAGCACGCATCAGCAGCCCAGAGCCGGAGACCTGTCTGTGCGCTTTGACCTTGGGTGTACTTGCCAACATTCATGGGAGTTGGTCCTGCGGGAGGGCGTGAGGTCTAAAATTTCGGGAAGTGGCTCACTATAAGTAGTGCTTGCTGGAAAATGAAGCACAAGTCTGCGGCTTTCTGGTACTATTTTCTGGGCGCCTCGAAAGGAGCCGAGGCCGAGTTTACGTTGCCGGACTCGCCGTGGTATGCATTGAAGTAATTTGAAGTATACTGAGGTTCGGGCTGACCACGCATGCGCTGGCATAAAAGGGGGAGTCGGAACGTGCAGTGCAAAAGGCTTCTGAACGTATCGTCGCTTGACAGTAGCTCGGGTCTACATCAACGCAAGAGGCAAACGTCTTGACCGTCTTAACCAAAGCCAACTCTAGAGGTGAAGCATGGAAGTTCGGGGCCTGAAGTATTCATTCAACTGGGCCTGATGCTTGAAGCTAGGTACAGAATGAGGGCATGAGCACAGATCCAACACTCCGGCCCAAGGCACATGGGCGAGGACCGATGCCCGTGTGAGGGGTACGGCCTCCTCGGGATTGAGCCTTTGGCTGTGGCAACTGGACGCTTAACATCGAACATGGTTTCAGGACACGGCGAGATCTCAGGTTTCTGCCGGCGATCGTCCATGCTACGGCGGTGATACATGATGTTGGCATGTTTTGTCAACCGTATCACGACCTCTGAGCAATCAACAGATTGCCTCCGTTCGTTTCCATGGATACCGCACACGCACGCCTGCTTCACTCAATCCTGCTGGTTATCAGCAAGAGTTGGAGTCTCGTTGACGGATACGATGCTGAAATCCCAAAGCTTG